TCGTGGATATCCGCCCGAATCCGACTTTGTCGGGTAGGGTAAAACCCGAACCCAAAGAACTTTTAGCGGGTACGGGTAAAATCCGAACCTGAATATTGCGGGTAATGGGTGGGCATGGTGTTCTCACTATCCAACCCGAACCCGCCCGATATACACATGCATATGTATTTTGTCTAGAAATAATCATTATTTTTCTCTAATATATTTTATATTTAGCATATAAATATAATCTTTTTCATGAAATTGTGTTATTTTAATGAATTTTCTTCATTCTAGTGAATTATTGCCATACTTTTTCTCTTAGGTAATGTCAGAATACATGTGAATAATAACAATATTGGTTGAAGTTATAAAGAGAAACTATTACCCATGGATAACCGTGGATACCCGAAACACGAACGGGTATGGGCACGGTTTTGATTTTCTACCCATTTCTTATGTGGGTATGGGTATGGGTAAAACCCGAACTACTTTGGGTAGGGTAACGGATATGCACTATCCGTCCTCGACCCGACCCATTGCCATCCCTAATTCTTGCGGGTGGTAAAGAGAAAAATGCCAACATCGGTGATTGATTGGGTAAGAGTTCCTTCGGCTCAACCAGGTCATTCATTATTTCAGCGAGTATTCTGGACTTATGGACCTTGTATAGATGGATTCAAGAATTGTCCAGGTGTCATGGTTGTTGATGGAACATTTCTTACTGGGAAGTATAAAGGAGTGTTACTCATGGCGAGCCCATTTGATGGCCGGAAAAAGATTTTTCCAATTGCATTCGCCATAGTGGAGAGCGAGAATACTGATAGTTGACCATGGTTCATAAGTCACGTTCAGGGTTTGACTGATTGAAATGATATCTGCATCATCTCATATAGACACGCAGGACTCTATGAAGCCATGAATAACATCATAAGAGGTTGGGAGTGGAGGTGGTGCATGCGACACTTATGCAAGCAATTTGCAAAGGAAGACTAAAAGCAGGATTGTGTATAATCAACTATTTCGAGTCGGTAAGCCTTCTTCATTTAATTTTGTTATTTATTTTCATGTACTATTTATTTTCATGTAATTTTGTCATGAATTTATCTAACCCGTGTGGTTGTTTATTTTGTTAGCCAGAGAAAAATGCTTGGAGAAGTTCGATCCTCAAGTTGAGCAATTTAAGAAGATGGCCACTGATAGAAATATTTCATGTGATAACTGGGTGGACCAACATCAGACTTGTTGGAGTTTAGCACATGATAACTACAATGGTGGGCGTCGTTGTTCTATCCTGACATCCAACATGGCAAAAAGCATCAATGGTGTTTTCAAAAGTATTCGTGCACTTCCTATAGCTTCTCTTGTGCAACATACCTATTGGCGATTGGTGGAGAAATTCGATAAGATGAGGTTGGAGACAGGAGCAGAAATTAGAAGTGGTGCACAACAGTATTCCACCAAGTGCGAGGAGCTGATGAAGGCGTGGTCACAGAAGGCAGTTGGACATTCCGTGACAGCGATTGATCGACGTCAAGGCATCTATGTAGTTCAGACTCCTCCCAACAATTTCAACATGACGGGGTCAAACACACTCACAGTGCACTTTGGCGACCGCAGCCGGGCGGGATTTTGCACTTGTGGGAAATTTCAAGGAAATAAAATACCTTGCTCTCATGTCATTGCAGCTTGCAACCGAATGGGGGCTAATCCGTTTAGGTTTGTAAACGACGTCTACAAGCTTCAAACAGTGTTGGCTTGTTATGGGACAAGTTTCACTCCTCTTGGTGAACCTAAGGGTTGGAAGAAGCATAATGACCCTACTCTCCACTCTAATCTGTACATGATTAGAAAGCCGGGGAGGCCAAGATCAACAAGAATTCACGGTACAGGTAGGACAGCACAGCTGCTCCCCAAGCAAACCTCCCCGCTCTGCGCCAATCCTCCACCAAAAGTAGGTACTGCAGGTGAACTGAACCTCCAGGCCGATTAGAGAACAAGACACCTCACATCAGAGACAGCGCATACGCTCGTGCAAACTGCTCTGTAGTCTCGGGTGATGCAGAAAGCGGTAGCTCATCGAAAGTCTCCCTGAGCCAAGCAATCCTAATGACGCCGCCGTCAAGATCAGTAGAAGCCTGTTCTAACAGTCGAAGACACATATCCGACCAGTCCTCGTATGGTATGTCTACTACGACAGCATCGCCGTCGATTGCTAGCCCGGTCAGTGTCGCAACGTCCTCTAGGGTGATCGTCACCTCACCGAACGACATGTGGAAGGTCGATGTCTCGGGTCGCCAACGCTCTACGAGCACAGTAATCAAACCCGGATCACCGGTAAGAGGGGCTAGTGGCAGAATACTAGACAAGCCCGCATCGACGAGATACGACTGGTAAAGTGGATGGTATCACACTAAATTGCTCGTATGACGAATGTGGTAAGGTCGATCACCAGCCTATAATGCACAAAACTTATATTAATTCAATGCACCTAATATTTATATTTATATATCTAAACTAAACTTATTCTAATACTACTCATAATTTAATCTAATTTTATTCGTAATTTAATTTAATTCTATTCGTAATTTAATTTAATTAAGATCTATTCGTAATTTAATTTAATTAAGATCTATTCGTAATTCAATTTAATTCGTTTCATAATTTAATTTAATTTAATTTAATTCTATTCTAATTTCAGTTGAGTTCAGCTAATAAAAAAACTATAGAAATAGTTTGAAAACTTACCTCGTTTGCCCAAACTGCGTCAATACGATGGTGAGCATGCTCCCAAAGAAGTTCCGGATCCACCAGAGCTGTATCAATTGTCGCAGGTGGTGGTCTCATTGAACAAGGGTCCATAAGCCTAGGAACTGAAAAAAAAAAACAATTAATTAATTAGAACATTAAAAAAAATTTGTCAGGGGCGGCGAGTTTCCGGCCTCCGCCGGCGAAAATTACCTCTGTAGCGTTCGCCGTCGTCGCCACCATGACGCTGAGCTCGCCGCCCTCTGCCCCTTCCTCTGTCGGGGCCAGCTTGCTCGTCGTCGGACATGGCCGCCGGAGAAAGAAGCAGATCTGCGCCACGCGGTGAAGAAGAGCGACGACGCTCTGGGCAAGGCGCTTTCGCCGGCAACCTGGCGCGACCGCCTGAGACTGAGGCGTCGCCTCCCTTCTGTCGTCGCTACCGTCGCTGTTGGCGTGGGGGCGAGTTGGATGGGGGCGAGAGCGTGGCGGGGGTGGGTTGTGTGTGTGGTTTGTGTCGGCGAGAATGAGTGAGGAAGAAGATGATAGGAAGAAAAAAATCGAAGGAGCGACGATGCCCGAGACTAAGGGGTTGGCGCTATTTGAAATTTTTGAAAATTTCAAATAGCGTCAACGCCTGAGTCTCGGGCGGGCGCGCTGTCCTCCCTTCAAAACACAATATTCTTGTAAATACTTTTTAATTGACTATATTCATGGTAAATAAATAAAAATATATTTAGGGAATTAACCCCCAAATAGTAAGAGAACATATTTATGATCGATCCAGCCGTACAAATAACATGTATGTGAATATCTTTATTATTCAGGAGTGCAAAGAATCGGTAGTTCTACTATCGTGGTTGGTTAATAGACTCTTTATGATTTATATGTGAATCTTTGCAGTTGCATTGTTAAAATTATTCTTACATATTCATCTAAGACAATCCACAAACTTGTAGTGTCATGATATTTAGGGGTTGTTTGGAGAAAATCATTTGGGTCATGGATTTATTAGAAAATTGTGTTTTGCTTTTACTATTTAAAAATAGATATATTAAATTTCTCAAATATTTATTAATTTGTGAGATTTTTTTCTTCTACTTTAACTCTGCATTATTTATTTATTTATTCCACTAAATATCATTATCAAATCCTCAATATTTTTCAAGCCACTCTTTCTTTTAATTAAGGGTAAAGATTTCATTTGATAAAAAATCGGAATTTCCATTTTTCATTGAATGTTAACAATTGTAGTTACCAAATAATTCATAATTTATAATATTTTTTAACAATCCAAGAGTTAATTTTTTAATTGTTTTGAATTTTGAGATTTAGACTCCCATTCTTCAAACAATGTCTTCGGTTATATATTCAAAATGTTTGAAACTTTGATGGAGAACACATAAAGGCCATCAAAGTTAGAAGTGATTTCAAAGAGATGCTTTTTGAGATGAAAACAATATTCAAACTCGTGGACATTTTTTCCCCTTAGATATGATAATAGAATAAAAGAAATAATTTGACTACCATATAAATAATTTCTCGATCAAGCAACAAAATCAAATGAAAGCAACTCTAAACTAGACAGATAAAGGACTTTTCTTGCCACACTATCGGCAACCTGAATTTTAGGAACCACACGAACCTCTAACCCTAGGTCTAGAGCATCAATCATCTTACGGTAGTCTCTGAGCACCAAGTCTCCAATTGCATATGACTATATCCCTCTTAGTAGCTGACGAATTATGACTTCCGAATCCCCTTCCAGTATGACTCCATGGAGGCCAAAGTGATGAAACAAATTTAAACCATCTCGAGCAGCTAGTAGCTCGGCAAGGTACGTGTTGTCAATCTCAGGATGTTGAAGTCCAATAGCGAGATACGTACGACCGTATGCAGACTTCAACACCAAGCCTATAGCACTACCTCGAGAAGGATGGGGGCAACTAAATGGATGACTAGAGGTGGAGAAGGAATAAATAGATGGATGGATGAAAGTTCTTGTACTTGGTAAGCGAATTGAGCAGTGAGTAGGGACGACGCTAATTGAGTATCCTCAAAAACTACGGTATTGTGGAAATTTAGATTCTCCGTAGTAATAAGTAAACTCGTGGATATTCAACCTGACTTGATCAGATGAGATAAATCCTGTAGTTATCGGTTTTGGATAGGTTCTGGTAAACCTCCAATTTTGATACTTGCCGCCGGTTGGATCGGTATGGGTCGGTCAAAAATCGGGTCGACATATATCCTTGGTACTCAGAAGCTAAAACAGCGCCGTTTAGTGATTACCCTAATTAGAAGACTCGACCCCTCATTTAGATGGCCGTGCCCGCCTATCCTTAGCAGCGTTCCGCCGGCGGGAAGGTAGCGTTTTCCAGCCTTTTTCTTATTAACATAAAGCTCCAACTCCGGCAACAAGTATACCAAAAAACAGAAGGCCATAGCGCAGCAGCTAAGCTAAGCTTGTGCATAGAGGGTTGATGCAGTATCTGCGATGGATTTCGAAACAAACTATGAGATTGAAGATACTGCTGATTTCATTCACCGCCGCAACTTCTCCAGGGTTGCTTTGCAGGTAATGCCCGGCGTCGCCTCTGCTAACCCTTTTTAAGTCGATTCTTATTAGTTTGTATCTATCACAGACATACCCACTTTGATTATTGTATAAATTATCCTTAGTTCCAAACTTGGAAGACAGGGTTGTTAATACGATGGACAACTTTTATGAATTTGCAGTTCCCTGACGAGTTGTTGAAGGATTCCATGAGAGTGGTGGGTGCTTTGAGAGACAAGCTTCAGTTACTGAAAGAATCAGGCTCTGGAACACAACGAGATGGTGCTAAAGAGGTTAGACTCTTTGTAATGGCAGATGCAACTTATGGAAGTTGTTGCGTGGATGAAGTTGGTGCGTCGCATAGCGATGGTGAATGCGTCATTCATTACGGACATACGTGTCTCAGCCCGTAAGCAATTTGCTGGTTCAAATTCTGGAACTGTAGTTACATTCACACAGTATATTGTCCAATCAAAGCCAAAGAAGTTTCAATACTGCTTCTAGAAGTTTGAGAGTGTGTTGAATGTTTGTCTCTACTGCTTATCACTTCTATATTGTGCATGCGCCCTTTTAACCGACCTATGGCTTTGAAAAAGAGTGAATGAGATAACAAGTTATATACTTTTTTTTTTTGCAGAAGCTCAACCCTTCCAGCATTCTTTGTTCTCGGAAAAGCTTCAGTTGATGCTTCGAAGTGTGCTGAAAGTTTGTCGAATTATGCATCAACAAGTGGAAAACCGGTTCTGGTATGTTAAACGATATGATACCTATTTGTCCGTTTAGTAATTAATTCCGCACCAATGGGTGACTGAGTCTATGGAAGTGGATGATTTGTTCAGTTAATTGTAAGAATATGCTTGAGATTCTTGCAGAATCAAGTTGATGGGGCCAAGCCTTTTTTAAGATAATTAAATTATTGAAAAGGATCTTTGTAAAAAGCTTTGATCCATATTAGCCAAACCCAGCTTCCCTAATCATGTAAGATGACAACCAGAGGATTATCCTGTGGTGGGAGTCTTTCTGCTTCCTTTGAGCTCCATTATGAGAGACCTGCCGTGCAGTTCCCCTATTTGATGCTCTTATTATGAAGGGGAATGCCCGAAGGCCCTCACACGTACAACTAATTAGCTTCAAGTTATGCAACATACAGTTTCTTGATATTCAACAAAAAATTGTTCCTTAATATTCGCGGGTGTTGTTCTCATTCCTGATGCAGGTACTTTATGGCCTAGAGTATGCACATGCCATCTCACATATCCAGGATGTAGTTGTTTCAGTATTATCATCCTTAAATGCGTCCACCTCCACTTGTGAATTATTCAACAAAAAATTGTTCCTTAATATTCGCGGGTGTTGTTCTCATTCCTGATGCAGGTACTTTATGGCCTAGAGTATGCACATGCCATCTCACATATCCAGGATGTAGTTGTTTCAGTATTATCATCCTTAAATGCGTCCACCTCATCTTGTGAATATCACTTTGCTGATGTTGCATCTCGAGTAACCGATCCCCCAAAGCTATGTGAAAATTCTGAGAACCTGAGACCAGACTGTGATTGTGATACTAGTTGTGAGGGTGTCACATCTGGTTTTACTGGTAGCATTGGAGGTCTGATCTGGAGTCTACCCAAAGGAAGCAAGATGGAAGATTACTCTCTTTACTGGATTGGCTCTGAAAATTCAGCATTTGCAAATGCAGTACTGACATTCAATGGATGTGAAATAGGTAACAGATCGAAGGTGCTTCATTTGTAGTATCATTTTTTAGATATCTGTTATTTATCGAAAGGGTCCTTAATTTTATGGAATTTGTGTGATGCCTCTTCAAGGAATACTGAGTCCAATCTGCTGATACTGTTTTTTAGTCAGATACGATGTGGAGCAAGGTTGCTTGATGACAGATTTATCTCTACAAAGAAAGATACTCAAGAGGAGGTAGTCTGCACTATATGACATTTCTGCTTCACTTTTTGTTTGCTTCCCTCTCATTACTGAAATCTTCATATGTACTTTGTACTATGTCATTTTTCTTCAGTTTTCCTCCATCTTTTTTACGTAGTAACTTCTTGCTTCTGCGTGATCGATTGTTGTTTTATAGATATTACCTAGTGGAGAAGGCAAAAGATGCAAACATTGTTGGGATACTGGTTGGAACTCTTGGAGTAGGTATGTCACCTATACTTTATAATTTTCATTTCTTTTGCCCTTTTTCTTTCCTCTACGCTTGCCCGTCACATAGTTTTGGCATTCTACTTGTACTCTCCAAAGCTGGTAAGGCAATTCGTTTTTGTTTATCCAATGGATGCTTTTAAGTTTTTTCTTTATGTTCAGCAAATGCTATTGACCAGTTGATCATTAGATTTTTCCTTTTAATTTCAATGCAGCTGGTTACCTCAACATGATTCATCAGATGAAGGACTTAATAACTGCTGCAGGAAAGAAGGCTTACACTTTTGTAATGGGTCGACCCAATCCTGCAAAACTTGCCAACTTCCCTGAGGTAAGGACTTCACTTCAGTTATTTGGGAGGAGAAAGTTGCCTGTTTTTTTTTTTAGGTTTGACACAAGTACAAGTTCTGCATTCAAATATTGATGTTTTTGGCTTTTTGCAAGTGTGATGTTTTCGTGTATGTCTCCTGTCCGCAAACTGCTCTCCTGGACAGTAAAGAGTTCTTAGCTCCAGTCATTACTCCATTTGAAGCCATGCTAAGTTTTAGCAGGTTGGTAACAATCTCTTGCTTTAAGATATAACCCACATCATTAGAATCTTTGTATTTGAGTTTCACCCATATTTTCAAGATACTGATGTTCTCCTCTCTCCCTGAACATCAATTATTCCCCAGGGGAAGGGAATGGACCGGAGCATATGTTACGAAATTCTGGGATTTGATTGATTCCCCTCTACCAAATGTAAGACATGATCCTGAAGAGGCCCGTTTCTCACTCATACAAGGCAGATACGTTGAGGACTTCAGTTCCAAAGGTAAGTTTTTCAGTGGCTTCAGTTGGATCAGCATGACATCCCTGTTTATATAATTCCCTCACACTGATGAGTAATTTGCTTACTGAAAAATGCAGAGAACGTGGAAGAGGAAGAAGAGAATGGAAGGGTTGTTGCTCTATCAACCACAATGGAGAAGGCTCTACAACTGCGAGACAAAAGTACTACTATGATAACCAGCAATGGGAAGGGAGCTACATCGGGGGCAGAATATTTTGCCACCAGAAGAACTTATCATGGCCTGGACATGTACCACGACAGTGGTTCTACGGTGGAGCCGTTCTTGATTGGCAGAAGTGGGAAGGCATCTGGTTATGAAGGCGAGAGAAACAAGCCTGATACTGAAGCTAAGAATTAACAAGGCAGTTTCGGTGGCACATCCTTGTGTTGTATAGTTGCAGCACAGGAAGAGATGAAAGGATTTTTGGTCAGCAATTCTGGGTCCCCCAACTTTCACATTACTTATCGACTTCTATTTCAGATTCAACGTTTTAAGCATGTGGCCATGGTGAAGAAGTAAAGATTCCTCGTTGAGCTCCTTATCTATAAATGCTGAATTCATACATCTAAATTGGGGGAGCTTGGTTGAGAAGAAATTGGATAAGGGACTCGTGGCAGAGTTACGCAAGTAGCAACGGTGGGCGGTGGCACTGTGGTGGGAAAATTGCTGGAGGAATTGCCTTGTGTAGTTGTGTTGCAGCAAAGATGGAGAAGCTTGAAGGTAGCATCGAGCTGCTGAGGGAGTTCAAGCACGTCCTTGCAGCTATCATGGATAGGGTTATAACTTACGACTGCTGCTTCATACTAGTGACCAGTTGCCTTTGAGAAGTTTCTTGCTGGTGTAGGTAAAGACTTGTGTTGCAAAGTGGTCACATATAGTGTTGTTTCTCTATTTAAAGATCAGGCTATGAGCAGTATCGAAAGAAAATAGACAACTTGATGTTAAACTAAGAACAAATGACTTGGCTGAGTTAAGAGAAATTAGGTGACACTATACTCGCAAAAAAAGTTCGTAGACTATAAATACAGGTGCCCACAACTAAGTGAGCTAAGCACTCTCGTTTACAGGTTGTTAGTATCTATGGTTAAACAGACTGAACATGGATCTAACAAAACTGAGTTAACTGGAGCTATTTATTCAGATGTTACAGGCTTACAGCCAACCAATCAGGAAATAATCAAACCCAAAAACCATACGGTATAAAACTCATGCTCTTGGTCACATCTCTATGTCTTCAAGGTCCGGTAGGGGGAACCGAAGGATTGCAGCAATGCCAGTCAACTGCGCCAATTCTGTTTCAAGAAGTTCGAAGAATGCCAAACTAAGCAAGCAATTCATCGTGTTGTAAAATGGATGTGTAAGGGACTATTTTGTAGAAAACTTACGCTCTCCCGAGGAGTGCATAGTTGAAAATATATGAGCTTTGCCACCAGAACCCTTTACTGACGTGACTAGATCTACATACTTCCGTCTCGTTGGTACATCAGCATTCCTGCAAATAATTACCCAAAGATAACAAAGAAACAACACTTAAAACAAGTAAAGTTTTCTTAATAGGGATCTAAATGCCTGACAATTGATACTACTACTTCAGTCAGACGGACAGTCACCTGAAGAGATCATCAGTTAGGAGAAGAGTTTGCACAGCTAGGCGTTCATTAGCGACCTCCACATGCTTTGGCCCATAGCATGCTCGATCAGGATCCTGAAATCGAAAGGCCGTAAATTTAGAAAAAAAAAACGTAGGGCATTCTGACTCTCACGAGTAACTTTTGCCAGACACCAAACTATAAACAAAAAAGGTTATCAAATCTCAAGAGCGGAACCTCACATTTGAGAGCATGTCATAGAAATCCTTCAGAACCCGGACCTGGAAATAGGGGACAACAAAAATGATATAATTACAGCACTATTCGACAGAAATACAACTTATCAAAATCCTCCACCAAAGGCATGCCGCGAAAATTACCTCTTCTGCTGCTTTAGTATCTTTAATCATATTCATGACACTTGGTGCATCAAGTACATCTCTCAAACTATGCCTGTGAAGAGTATGCGGGGCTAGGTTAAGGAACAAGGACTACAAGAGCCCTAAACAGAAGCAACACATCAGACAAGTTGTACTAGAAACACAGGGTACATGTGTTGCTTCACAGCAATCTGAAAGAGAAAGATACCTACTTGTATCCAGAGGATGTATGCACAAGTATTATCTTGGACTTATTCTCAATAATGGGTCTTAACTCTTTTTTCTCTGCCTCTAGCAACAGATAACGATGAAATTGGTCCTGAAGCAAAATAACAAATTCCAGAGTAAAAACGTGTTGAAAATTGACTGCATCAAATTGTAAGAAACTGGTCACTCAATGTTGATTTAAGTTATAAGGCAAGTGTACCTTTGTAAAACCAGGACTTCCAATCACAGCACACCGAACAACATTGAAGTCAACATGTTTCAGGAAAGCCTGCAATACAAAAGTAGTTCTACTATCATGGCAATACTTAATTGGCAATCAGCATACAGTGACGGGTTATAGATTTATCAATGTCGTTTTTACTGAAAAAGGACCATACATTGCAAGGCTGTAAGAACTTACCTGTAAAACATTCTGGAAAAACTTATTTAGCGCCTGCAAGAAAGAAAATCAGAGTTATAATGGTGCTTCCTAATAACTCAAAAGCCAACTAGAAAAATACCAACAACTGGATTTAGTTCATTTTCCCCAATAAAAAGCAGTAGCGTACCGAATCATAACCGGCAATTGCAGGTCCATGTTTACGCGGAATTGAAGTTTCGATCCGTGCACGTGAAGTTGTGACACTGTATATTAGGCTCCACGTATTCAATACTCAGCTCACAAACAAAAGAACTAAATACTTCAACTACATGAGAAGTTTACTAAGATACTGGGAAGTGGGCATGCAAAAGATTGTTTGTAAGTTTCAAGAACATAAGAAAGTGACTACAAATTCATAGTTAACAAACTATGCTAAAAGAAAATAGCAAGGAAGTTAAGCGTTAATGAACGAACAGAATACATATTGATACCTTCTGCCAACTAGGAAAATTTGTGCTAATCCTTCTTGCATTAGAAGCACAGCGAGATCAGCACTTGCTGTAGGATCTAGGAGATCATAGAAAAGATAGGCAGACTCTACTCAGCTCATGATATGGTAATTACTTTTCCAAGTTACAAAGGACAAATCACATCAATGCCAGAGTCTAGAGTCTAGACACATAACTCCTCCAAGGTTCTTATCCGAGCATTAAAGTACGAAGCCGGGATAGCACACTATAATGGTTGATCATCCATGGAATAAAGAATAAAAAAGCGACAAGATAATGAATAAAAGTTATTAAATCGAATGAGGATGACAAAAGAAACTCAAAAAGAGGATAATCGGTACGTATATACAGAACTAAGGACCCTAGCGCTTGAACGTTTCTAACATGGTTCTCTAGTACTCGTATTATTACAATTAGCGGAAAAGGGGATAGTAGCAATCCTAAGCCATCCTAAGTTACTAGATCCATAGCCATCCTAAGTTCATATTGGTTCTGCAATCATAGGATTGCAATGCAGGTGAACTAACAATATCCCGTTTGAATGTAGATACTAATATCACAAATGACAAACTAGACTACAAAAGGACAATTACCACCAAGGAATTCCTAACAAGTCACTTATGTTTCAAGTTAAAATATAACTATATAAAATTTTTGTAAATAAGATCAGCATAATGTACCTGAGGCTTGCTTAAGTACCTCCAGTGCTAATGAATCCCAAACTTGCTGGAAAACAGTATTTTAGAGCCGTAAGTCAGTAACACATGATGCAATCGGGCAAGAGGTTGAAACCAAATCACAAAGCCGAAGGCCAATACAGTAAAACACGTCAACAGCATTCCCATTGATATGTAATTTGTATGAGCAGAGACAATATGAACACATCTTCACCAAAGCCAGTGAATTAGTTGTTGCAGATCTGCCTACGGATGTATACGAACTCTCCTTCTAGCTCTTAACTGAATTTCGAGATTATTTTTAGTCTTTAATGGGATAATAACTATGCAGAAGTGAAAAGGAAACCACAAATTGCAACCAGGATCTCCAAAGACCATGATTGACAATATCAGAACAGCTCCAGAAGAATCAAGAGACTTCAAACATTCTTCCACTATTGCTTTTCTCAAATCATACATTGAAAAAAGGAATATCATTTGTACATAGAAAAGAGTCATAGCCGTACTTTTCTCAAAACAAAGGGCCGATGCAGCTCAAGTTCCAGCGTATGGAATTGACCAATCTGCAGGAAACAATGATCAATACGTCGTCAGACTAAAATCACGCCACTGAGGCCTTCAAAAGACACCAATGAAGCTACCTGCACATACCTTCACATGTTCATTCTCTAGGATATTCTTCCCCCGGATTCGTAAGACGCCCCCTTCTTTATCATACTCAATGCCCTTAATACCAAAACCAGAAACCGGGGAAGCAAAGGAAACCCTTGTCATATAAGGGATACATAAATAATACAATGGACACCAGACCCACCATTAAAGAACAGGGCAAGTCGTGCTCATACCTCAACTCTGACTTCCAACTTGAGCTTCACACGCTCAGCATCTCTACTACCAGATGCCATCTCCCTCAATACCTTCCTAAAGTTTAGCAAAGGCCAAAGAAGTTTCAAACTTCATTGCTGAACCTTTATTTTTCTTTGTTAAAAAATCAAGCAAGGAGGAGGCAAAGTAAACTACCTGACAGTAACGGCCATAACAGAATCTCCAGGAAGTATTAGATTGTAAGCAAACCAGAGATCATCTGAATCAACAGGCGTCATCTACACACCACCGCAACCAATTCCATTCCCACGAGAAATCTCAGATGACAATAGAGAAAATTGAAACGAAAGTCCAGATTAAGCTGGAAGCTTCTGAAAACCCTCCAATAGTTTACCTTGACGCTACCCGGGCCGTCGGGTAGGTAATCTTTCCTGACGATTTTCATGGTGAGAAGTATTAACTGTCCCGAACAAGGGGGCTACTATGTACCGGCAACCAGAGCGACGCCGCCGGAGTCGAGAGACGGCGACGGAGATCGTATATTTTGGAGTTAGGGATTCTTGGTCCTGGATGGAAGTAGAAGGAGTGGCGGAGGGGAGTTTTGCCCTTCTACAGTTCTACGGTTTTCACATTTCCTTATTCTTTCTGGATTCTCACTTGATCTTTTCCCCTTGTTTTACTTTTACCCTTGTCTGGTATTTAGGTCGGTTGGATGAGTTTTGTCCACAAAGCTTATTACTAATTTTTGGTAAAAAAAAAAAAAAAGCTTATTACTAACGGACGGGGATAATTGTATGTATGGACGGCCTATGTAGAATTGGATTAAATTGAGATAAGATTGAGTCAAAAATAAATAAAAATTGAAGTTTAAAATTGAACCAAAAATATGTTTGGTTCGATACGATTGGATTCAAATTCAATTTTGAGCTATTTTCTCTTTATATTTATTTTAATTTATAGGATCAAAATCGAATCAAAATATCTTCGAACCGATTCGATTTAGTATGAACATGATTATTACCTACTCCTAATTTTATGTCATCCTCCACCCATATTCTTTAATGAACCGGGTCGGATGAGTGGTGGAATCACTACCGTTGAATTGCAAATTGACATGTACATACCATTTGGTATAAATAAATTTCACAAGTTGTGAATAATTTTTATTTTTGTGTTTGGTATTTAAAAGAATTTATTTTCAATTCTAAATTTTGAATTCTACGAAATTGGAACTAGTTATAGCAATTCAGAGGAATTGAGATGAAATTTGCAAATGAATTCCACAAGTATTTACTAATTATAATAGAATGACATAAT